GCCCAGAAACCCTCAACTTCCGCCCATAAACCCTCAACTTTCGCCCAGAAACCCCCAACTTTCCCGGATAAACCCTCAACTTTCGCCCATAAACCCTCAACTTTCGCCCAGAAACCTTCAACTTTCCCGGATAAACCCTCAACTTTCGCCCAGAAACCCTCAACTTTCCCGGATAAACCCTCAACTTTCGCCCAAAAACCTTCAACTTCCCCGGATAAACCCTCAACTTTCGCCCAGAAACCCTCAACTTCCCCGGATAAACCCTCAACTTTCGCCCAGAAACCCTCAATTTTCCCGGATAAACCCTCAACTTTCGCCCAGAAACCCTCAACTTTCGCCCAGAAACCCGCAACTTTCCCGGATAAACCCTCAACTTTCGCCCAGAAACCCTCAACTTTCGCCCATAAAACCTCAACTTTCGCCCAGAAACCCTCAACTTTCGCCCAGAAACCCTCAACTTCCGCCCATAAACCCTCAACTTTCGCCCAGAAACCCTCAACTTTCCCGGATAAACCCTCAATTTTCGCCTATAAACCCTCAACTTTCGCCCAGAAACCTTCAACTTTCCCGGATAAACCCTCAACTTTCGCCAAGAAACCCTCAACTTTCGCCCATAAACCCTCAACTTTCGCCCAGAAACCCTCAACTTTCACGGATAGCACAGCGCGTTTTGCCTTTCGTGGGAGCTTTTTGGGGCCGTCCTGGGACCCCCCCCCACGATCGGCCAGAAAATGGCTCGTTCCCTAGGGTCCTATGTCAGCGGTTTAATAGCCGGATCGCAGCCGTCAAAATCCGATTTTCGGAGCATAAACCCTCAACTTTCCCGGATAAACCCTCAACTTTCCCGGATAAACCCTCAACTTTCGCCCAGAAACCCTCAACTTTCGCCCAGAAACCCTCAACTTCCGCCCATAAACCCTCAACTTTCGCCCAGAAACCTTCAACTTTCGCCCAGAAACCTTCAACTTTCCCGGATAAACCCTCAACTTTCGCCCAGAAACCCTCAATTTTCCCGGATAAACCCTCAACTTTCGCCCATAAACCCTCAACTTTCGCCCAGAAACCCTCAACTTCCCCGGATAAACCCTCAACTTTCGCCCAGAAACCCTCAACTTTCGCCCATAAACCCTCAACTTTCCCGGATAAACCCAGAAACCCTCAACTTTCGCCCATAAACCCTCAACTTTCGCCCAGAAACCCTCAACTTTCGCCCAGAAACCCTCAACTTTCCCGGATAAACCCTTAACTTTCGCCCAGAAACCCTCAACTTTCCCGGATAAACCCTCAACTTTCGCCCAGAAACCCTCAACTTTCCCGGATAAACCCTCAACTTTCGCCCATAAACCTTCAACTTTCGCCCAGAAACCCTCGACTTTCCCGGATAAACCCTCAACTTTCGCCCAGAAACCCTCAACTTTCGCAGAATAAACCCTCAACTTTCCAAAAACGTCATTTTTTTGAAATTAACATAAACCCCTTAAAACGCACAAAACACCGTAAATTACGGGGTATAAACCCTAAACCCCCCAAAAGTTTAGGGTAAATTTTCCCGGGGTTTGGGGTTATATTTTATATAGATAGTGCCCCTTGCTGTCGGCATCTGCTCAGGGCTGTTGGTGCTCGATCAGCCCATTAATTCGGGCTGATCTCGGCTAGCTGTCGGCAGAAACAAGGTCAGTGCCGGCGCTGCCAGGCAGCGCCTTACTGAGTTTAGGGTTTAGGGTTTAGGGTACAGTAGGGTTGTAGGCTTTAGAGCCGCGTTGTGTATATGGTTACATATTTACATCGTACCCGCCCAAGGTACCCTATCCATTGTGTGATATACACCTTCTCATTCACTCAGTTGCTGCATGCCTCACACCTTTTCCTGGCCCAAACAACAAAGCCCAGAGAGCTTTTCCTAAAAGCTTCTCACCCTTCAGAGCAGCCCCAAAAAGGCTCCTGGCCAGGATTTGGCCCAAAACGGCTCTTTCCCAATGAGGGCAGAAGGCACTTTCAATTGCAGGATTCCAAGCACCAAAGGCCCAAAATCTGGCTCCAGAAGGCTCCTGGCCAGGATTTGGCACAAAACGGTTGTTTCCCAATGATCCTAGATGGCACATTTAATTGCCGGCCTGCAAGCCACCAAAGTCCCAAAATCTGGCTCCAAAAGGCTCCTGGCCAGGATTTGGCCCAAAACGGCTGTTTCCCAATGATCCCAGAAGGCACGTTTCATTGCCGGCTTGCAAGCCATCAAAGTCCCAAAATCTGGGTTGTGACCCTAACCCCTTGAAAAATGCAGATTTTGGACCCTACAACCTTCCAAAGGGATGGATTTAGCCACTAAAACCAAGGGTTTTGACCCTAAACCCTTTAAAAATGCAGGTTTTGGACCCTAAACCCTTCCAGAAGGATGGATTTAGTAGCTAAAACCAAGGGTTTTGACCCTAAACCCTTGAAAAATGCAGGTTTTGGACCCTGGGCGAGCCATATCGGAACTACGACCCCATTAAGGTTTAAATATACATTTGATATATTAGTTTAGGGTTTAGGGTTCGCCACGAAGTGGTGCCCAAGTCAAAGCCCTTTTATCAATTACTATCTCTTATTACAGCCGGACCCTGGTACCTAAACTCACTAGGGGCCCTTTTTGGTCAATTTAAAGGGAAACGAAGACTAAAATCACAAATCAGGGCCCCTAGTCTAGGGGCCCCAAAACGCAAAAACAAAGGGAAACGAAGCCTAAACATGGATAAAAAGGCCCCTAGTGGAAAAACAAAATCGCTCCAAGACCCCCCAGACCCCAAGGACCTCCAAATCGCCCCAAGACCGCCAAGCCCCAAGGACCTCCAAAAGGACTCCGCGCCCTAAGCCTTCAAACTGGCGCGCCCTAAGCCTTCAACCTGGCGCGCCCTGGTGGTTCAACCTGGCGCGCCCTGGCCCTGACACTCTGCGCGGCGTTGCCTTGCTTGGGAGGGGGAACCTCGGACCACGAAATCTTACATTTTCTGTACCGGCAAAGGATGTGGGTTTAGGGTTTAGGGTTTAGGGTTTTAGGGTTTAGGGTTCGACAACACAGGGTGTTGGCGCCCAGGCAAAAGCTGTCTTGGACAGGAAGGTTTCTAGAGTTAATCACAAGGAATCACTATCTTTTATAGTCTTTTAGGGGGTGCGCGCCCTGGTTTCCAAAACTTAAGTTGAAAAAACTTAAGTTTGTCAAGGTGGACCTTAAGCACAGGCCCGCCGAACTTAAGTTTTGGAGGCATTAATCTCAGATCGCTCAGGGCACCAACTTAAGCACAGACCTTGCAAATTTAAGTTCACTGAGAGCCCGACCTTAAGCACAGCCCTGGCAAACTTAAGTTTTGAAGCCCTGACTTAAGTAGACCCCCCAGGGAAACGAGACGAAACGACCCTATATATAGTAGGGGTGGTGCCTTACCCCGACGGGGGGGACGGGTCCATCATGTAACTAGTATGCTGCCCGGCGGCGCGCCCGGCCAAATGTTTTGGTTTTTTCTTTACGGGTTTCTCCCCCCGGCCGGGCGCGTCGCAATGGCATTTTGTAACCCGAAGACAACAGGTCCCTAATGTCTAGGGGGTGGTGGGGGCTCGATGCTTGGCAGTGCTTAGCGTCGTTGTCATTTGGCATGTGATCAACACTGGAGTACATGTTGTCGTATCAGATCAACAATCATATCTCTTGTGATGTTGAGGGTGTGTGATCACTGGTGGATGTTGAAAAGCAAGCACTCTGAGATGAATGCATGACACGGTTCCAACAACACAGTATGTCGGGATATCGGATATCAGCACTTCATTGGATGACTGCTCACAAACAAAAACAAGACGTGATGTGAACCAAGATGCTTCAATTGCCTGGGTTCATAGCAGGGGATGTACGGACACATGTTGATGCCGACTCCGAGGAAAGCAATCGGTGCTAGAAGCTTGCAATCGGTGCCAGATGCTTCTGTCGTGATGAGCCCGAGCTGCAAAATAAGACGATTGGGGGAGGAAGACAGTCAGGACAAAATGTTACAATGTTTGTTCCCGAGCAACAAGGTCGGGCAGATAGCAGGACATTGGCACGTGACTGGATGACAGTAGGCATAAGAACACGGGATGTAGGTCAAGATACTTTACGTGCCTCCGTTGGTAACGCCGAACACACAGATGCATGGTGATGCCGGCACAAAGAATTGCAATCGGTCCTGGCAGCTTCTATCGCTACGCTTCCGAGCTGCCAAAGTAAGACGGTCATACATACATACATACATACGTACGTACGTACGTACGTACATACATATATACATACATACATACATACATACATACATACATACATACATACATACATACATACATACATACATACATACATACATACATACATACATACATACATACATACATACACACGTACAAACATACATACATACATACATGCATACATATATGCATACATACATACATACATACATACAAACATACATACATACATACATACATATGTACATACACATACATACAAACAAACATACATACAATCATTCATACATAAATACATACATACATACATGCATAAATACATACATACACACATACATACATACAGACAGACAGACAGACAGGCAGACAGACATACATACAGACATACATGCAGGCATACAGACCCACATATGCACAGCTCTGACACGGAGCCATTAGGAGGGGATTGAGCCCGGGGCCCTCCAAAAAAGCAGCCCAAAGGGCTACAGACAAAAGGGTCGGAAAACAAGCCCCGAGGAGGAAACGAAGAGGAAAGATGAGGCAAAACCAGGTGCCAGCAGAGAGATGCGGGGCCAGCGGGGGGGATTGAGCCCGGGACCCGCCAAAATTGCAGCGCCAAAGGGCTACGGGCAGAGGGGTCGAAAACGGAGCCCCGAAGAGGAAACGAAGAGGAAAAATGAAGGAAAACCACCAGGTTCCCCGCAATTCTGCTGGCACCCGCCGGGGGGTGCCGGCAGAGAAGCGTTCAGGCGCCAGCGGAGAAACCAACCCTGCTGGCACCCAATTTGGGTGCCAGCGGGTTTGCGGTGACACGCCCGGATTCGGAAGCCAGGGCCTGGAATTTTCGAGGTTTGTGCCGGTTTGGGTTTGATAGCGCCGCGCGTGTCTTTTGTTGCCCGGCCGTTTCGCCCAAGTTCGCTGCCGGCAGCTTTTCGGCAAAAACGCCGGGTCGCGAGGCAGCAGCCTTGGATTTGCCGACTTTGCGCCGGATTGGTTTTGATGGCGCCGCGCTTGTGTTTTGTTAACCGGCCGATTGTCCGACAAACCGCCCGCGCACCGTTTTTGAAGCAAAAACCGTCGAAAAACGGAAAATTCACTAAGTACATTTTTGTTTTGTCCCGGTTTCCGGGGGTATTGTAGAGGAACGTTTTCAGAAAGTATGAACATAATATCGTTTCAGAATCTTCCTTTGCGCTTTTGGCGTTTTCGGGGTTTGTGGCCGTAACCTGGTGCAACAAGATTTTGGCACATTGTGTTTGGCAATTGTTGGATTGATACCCCCCTGTTGAGGAAACAACCGTGTTTGGAATACCGCGGCCACAACCGAAAACGGCAAGCCAAAGTAGATTCTGAAAAGATAGGACTTGATGACGTGAGGACAGATGCGACAAACGAGACGAAGACCTGCGCCTTTAGATTGCTAAGACAACGCAAGCTGCTCTAAGGTATGCTACATCAACTTCTTCATCGAGCTGATTGATGCTCTGCCGAAGAAGATCGAGATGCCTGTCTACACACATTAGTAAGGGACGGGCACATACACAAACATAATATCTTCATCAACAAAGTTAATCGCATGCACACCCACCCACATATATATATATATATTTGTTTAAAATAGATACTAAGGCAAACACATACATACACACATACATACACATATACATACATATATGTATACATATGTATTGATGTGTACAGAAATGCCTTTTCTGAACCAAAAATAAATGCATATACATACATGCATACATACATACATACATAGATAGATACATAGATACATACAAACATCGAAATACGAACATACATACATACATATACACATACACACATTTATATAGACATTCATACAGACATACATACATGCAAAGGGAAGTACGCGCGCACGCACATAGGTACATACAAATAGACAAATGAAAGTACATGCATACATACATACATACATACATGCGTACGTACATACATACATACATACGTACGTACATACATACCAACAAACATACATACATACGTACACACACAGGCAGACAGACAGACAGACAGACAGACATACATACATAGATACATACATACAGACACATGCAGACATACAGACACAAACATACATACAGACACACACAGACATACAGACACATACATACAGACACATATTTACATACATATATACATACAGACGTACAGACATACAGACATGCAGACATACATACATACATACATACATACACAAGGACAGACAGATGGACAGACAGACAGACAGACAGGCAGGCAGGCAGACAGACAGACAGACAAAAAGGCATACATGCATACATACATGCACACATACAGACAGACAGGGGGGGCACCGTCCGTTTTGCGGGCGTACCGTCCGTTTTGCGGGGGTACCGTCCGTTTTGACAAAATGGACGGTACCCCGGGGGGGTACCGTCCGTTTTACCCCTGGGGGTACCGCCTGAAATAGGGTAAAACGGACGGTACCCCGGGGGGGTGCCGTCCATTTTGGCAAAACGGACGGTACCCTCGTAAAATGGACGGTGCCCTCCTGGAATAGGGTTTTCCCTTGCTTTGCGGACATTGTCATTGCTGTGTGTCGAGGTTTCGAATCTGCTGCTTTTTTTCCATGCAATCTTTATCTGTTGATGAACAAACTGCCGCTTTGGAATGGTTGGAGACATGCCCAGTTGCGACATCGGATGATACTGCTAGTGTGAGAGCTCGTGTGGAATCTTTTTGTGTTGCTGAAAGCAGGTGGCCCGACAAAGATGGTGGCCACAGTTCAGACCCGGAACTTGTGACAGCTATTCGCAAGGTCCGCTCTCGTCGTTTTGGAGTTGTTGTCAACAAGCGTAAAGGGGTGCTGTCTGATTTTGCGTTGCCTCTCAATGAAGACCAGATGTTGGCGTGGGAAGCCTTACCACTGCATTCATGCTTCTTGTGGTGGCCGCATCATTTGAAGGTTTTCGAAGAAGTTCAAGAGTTGTGGCAAAATCAGCAGTCTTTGCCGGTCCGAGGGCCGCAGAGCGCCTCAGACGCCTTGGCGCAGAAAGTTCGGCGGGGCCGCATGAAAACATTGCTCACCGGCAGAAAAGCTATGCGTGTTGCCGAAAGGATAACTTGGGAAGAAGCATTCCCAAGCATTTGGCAGCGCCGTATGCAGAAGGAAGCATACATCCAAGCTTCACAGTTGACAGATTCAGGAGATCGTTGGCCTTTTCGACGTGGTCCAGAAGCAACGTGTATGCTGGCCTGTGAGCTTTGCGGCAGTGAGATGAACACACAACGTGAATTTTTGGAACATCTGGAAGAACATCATGTGGCTGCTGACAGCGCAGGCAATCGTGCAGAGTGGTGGACTTCACATCGTGTTGTGGAAGAGTATCGCAAGCGCATGATGTTCTATGAGCAAGTGGAAAGCGGATAGTCAAGTCGGTACTCAATGACAAACTGATAGGATGGTGTGATGTATCTTTTTTTTGTGATGTCACGCATACTGGCATGAGTGAAATAGTTTCTGCAACCAGTTGAAAATAACCAGTTCCAATGTGCTTAACTAATATGATGGCTCTCCGTGTGTCGGGGTGCATTTGTTTCTGTTTTTGGCATCCCTGGCCCAGGACCGTTTCCTGTCAAAGGTGAACAGATGCAACGGGGCATTGCCAAACACGCATTTCATCAAGCTAGTGCATAGCTGCAGAGGCAAACACGCAGAGCCTCGGTCCTTATCTTCATGTTGTGTGTGTGCCCGTGGGTTCTGGAAGGAGGACCTTCGACCGGTGAAACTGTTTGTGACGCCGCTTGGAGCGACGGAATTGGATGAGGTGAATTTGGAAGACCCTGCGAATAATCAAGATGAAACGGAGGAGGAGGAGAAGGAACAAGATGACGGTGTGCTTAGTATATCTCTTCAAGCTGTTGCAAGATTGCATTCGCACATTTTCGATGTATATCATTACTCCAGACTGTGGCCTTTGATTCCTTTAGCCGAACTTTTGGCTAGTACTGTTGAACATCCGACTGGCAAAGACAAAGCAGGCCGAGCTTGGCGATGGTTGCTGAACACAAAGATGGTTCCATCGCGGCTCGGTCCCGATACTGTCGTGGATGTTTGCATGGCTTGCTCGCAGAGCTTGACGCGCAAGGTGCCACAGATGCCCAAGTTTGCGCTTGCCAATTCTTTGTGGATTGGTCGTGAACCTGTCGTATTTCGCAATCAAGGCAAGAAATTATCTCCTATGACATTCTTACTTCTTTCCTTGGGCCGTGCTGTGGTGCAAAAAATCATTGCCGAGAAAAACAAGCCGGGGAGAAGGCAAGAAAACAAATGGGCATGCGAAGCAACACTGTAGCATTTCCGCAAGCTAAGATACGAGAATTGGTATCCACTGAACTGCCTGCAGCTTCGATTGAGACCCACCGTTATTTGTCGGACAGCATTTCTATTGCATTGGTGGGTTGTGATCCGGAGGACTGGGTCTTGTACTGTATGGGGATGTCTACAAGAAAAGGTTTGTATGAAGACTAGCGGGGCCGACGGAATAGTTGTCTTTTGTTTTTTGTTTCGAATCGTTTGTGTGTCATGCTAGGACTTGGATCGTGCTACTTGGGCCGAAGTTCCGCGAGATTTATATATGACAGCAGCAAAGTATCTTGTCGCTCACAATGTTGCTTATCAGCACCTTACAGTCTCTGAGGACAATGCAAAGGAACAGTTCATGGAATTGGGCGCCACTTGTGCTGCTGTGCGTGCCCAGGCTACTCGGGTTGCAGAGGCTGAAGCTATGCCTGTGAAGTTGGACGCTCCTGGAGACACATCTGCGGATACTGTCGTGGTGACTGTCGCGGAAGCGACTGTGACCGATGCTGCGGAGACGGAACTGGCGGCGACTGCTGACTGTGGAGATGACAGCGGTGATGTTGGCTCAGTCCACAACCAATCGCTTGATGCGGACGAAGAGCAGCCGCCGCCTGGCTTTCAATGTGTGGCCGGAGAACTGACAAGCGCGGACTTGGACGTGGAAAGATGTTGTACAGAGTTTGCTGCAAAGTTGCAACTTCTGGCCGCTCGGGCACAGCGTCTTGGTGGTAGTGATGATGCTGTGGAACAAGAATTAACGAGCTTGAAGGCCCTGGCTAAAACGATGTCGAAAGCTGATTTGCAAGCAAAGCTGGATGAATTGGCGCAACAGATGGATGCTGCGGAAGGTGCCACTCACAGTTTGACGGGTAAGTGGGTGCAGGTTGTCCACACTGGGAGTGATACCCTGTCGATGTATCAGAAATGTTTTCCGGAATTATTTCCGTATGGTGATGGAGTATATGGCTTACCGCGGGACACTCCTCTGACTTTCCGCGAGTGGGCAAGCTATCTGTTAGCAAGAGTTGAGCTGGAGTATGAAATCTCCGACGTAGCCACCTCTGATCCTCTGCCAGAAACGCCGTTCCAGCCCCCTATCATTCCACGCTGGCAAGCAGATTTGAATTTTCTTGCTGTTGCTTCTGATTCTTGGAAACGCATGGAGATGGTGCGCTTGGCTTCCGGACATGTCCGGCGGAAGAAATTCAAAGATTCTCTCCGTGCTGTCCTGGATTGTACTTCTGCCAAACTCAGCACCGCTTTGCGTGAGCTTGGAGATCATGCGACTATGAGTGATGTGATGCGTTCAGCCAAGGCAGACACTCGCCTCAGAGATGCGATATCGCAGCTGTTATTCTTTTCGTCCGATGTGGTGGGATCGGATGGGGCGAGACAGCAGCTGAGACATGAGCAGAACGGTGCGATGCTGATGTGTCTTAGCGGCAAGTGCCGTTAGTATAATGATGGTGAACTGTTTGTCGTGGTAGTTATGTTTAATTGAAATGTTTTTGTTAGGAAATTACTGACGGAGAACATGGCAAGTGAATATTTTGTTGTCGACCAGCTTCACATATATATATATATTATATATATATATACATATATACTCTTACACTGAAGCCTTTGCAGGTATGGTGGTGTGCAAGGCTTCTTGAC